GTTGTAGGTCATCACTTGCTTCTGTTGTCTCCTTTCCCTCCCCCCATTCTCCTTAAACATATCAGGATACCAGTGCTGTGGACTCCATGCTTTATTAGTGAGCTATGGGGATTGGAGGGGGGAAAAAAAGGATTTTACTCAGCCTTTTGTTATTGTCCTTTACCCTGGGACTCTGGCATAAATTTGGAGGAGAGGAAGGGGCTGTCCCAGAGGAGCATCTAATGATGACACAGTCTTTGATCAGAACCATCCCTCCCCTCCAACATTAGCCTGCAGTCTTTGAACCAAACTTATGTGTCCCTTATCTCCTTCCACCAGTCTCTCAGTCGTGCCCAAGAGGAACTCTGTCCCACATATTTACTCTCATGTTTCTCCCTTTGTATAATCTTCCACTCTGACTTTAACAAGTAAATGTGGTGCTTTTCAATGCATAATTTATCCCTTGTAGGCTAATATGGTTGTGAACAAGAACAAATCTTATTAAAGTTGCCGAGAGAGATGAAATAACTCAATTTGATAAAAGTTAATAGAAGTGTGCTTAATTCACATTTACACCTTCTCAACTGCTCTTCACATGTATTTAGCATTCTTTCCGGGGAAATTATGATCTAGTCCTTAGCAATAGCTGTCTTAGTTCCCCTAGAGGACCAAGTCCTCATCTTGAGCAGGAACAGTTACTGTGTTCTGAAGTCTCCCTCATCTGTGCTGTTTAGAATAATGGATGCTTATAAGAGGAAAAGCAAGTAAAGGTGATTCTGTAATTTTTTAAATAGAGTTCACTTTATGCTGAATAAAGTTCAGGATCTATGAATGGTTTAAAACCCAACAACAACAAAAAATAATATTTTAAATAATGTCTAGGAAAGGAAACCAGTTGTGGTTTGCAGGATGATTAATTTCTTCTTTATTCTGTGCATCGAATTCAGATAAGACTGAGATATAAATTGATATTTTTTGGTACTGATGCACAGAATACCCCTAGTAATAACACTAGTGGGGGTGCTGGTGACCAGGGCATGCCTCAGTGTCATACACCTCTGTAGATCGAGTGGGTTGGCAGCAGCCTTCTATCTGTAGTCATCCAAGATTTTCAAGCCAGCAGCCAGGACCTTGTTTGCTAGGATCTGATCCTGGGTTCTCAGTGTCTGAAGGCAACAGCTTTCAAGGGCTTTTATACCAAAAGAAAATACCTGTATCAATATGTAGCACTCACCCCAAGAACACAGGAAAAGTATTGGCTTCAGAATGAGTGAAAATATTGTCAAGAGTATCATAGAAAAGGCACATTTAGTCATAAAAAAACCCATGTTTATCAAATGGGTTTATCTCCAGTGAGACTGACCCATGTTTTCTGATAGAAGGGCCTTTAAATAAGGAAGAGTATGTGTTATTTTACCAAACAAGACCAAAAATAAAAGATTTATTAGCTTTACTTTTCTTCACAAGTATAAGTTTCCTATGTATCATTAGTTACTTTATCATGAATAACATGTAGTGTCATCTTGGTGCTTATTAATCACCCTTTCCTTCCAACCAACTGTAAGAATAATTAGATGAAACTCGTGGCAGACCATTGCTTTCACATTAATCTTCCTAAGCTGGTGTCAGAGAAACAGTCAAACATTAACATCCACTATAAAAGTGCTCTTAAGTGGGTGCTTTTTAAAGCTAGAAGTTTTTAGGCATCAGTATTTGGAAAGAACCAGCTGGTCCTACATTAAACCAAGATGTAGGTGGTAAAACCCATATGAAATCAAGTAGCTCTCATCAGTGGGAGGTACAAGTCAGTTGAGAGAAGAGTTTCAGAGCCATATGCAGTATTGGCATTTTTGTAAGCTCTGAAAACCAGGTGTCTATTAAGGGGCTCCTGGCCTGCTTCATGTTCTTACTCTGGGAGCCAGGCTGTTGGTGACTCTAGGTTTTAGTCAGTTTTTTTTTTTTTTTGCTTGCTGCTGTGACTAAAGGATCTGACCAGAACAATTTTAGGAGAGGAAAATTTTATTTGAGGGCTCATGGTTTTAGAGGTCTTAGTCCATAGAAAACCGGCTCCATTCCTCGGGGCTCAAGGTGAGGCAGAACATCATAGTGGAAGAGTGCGGCAGAGGGAAGCAGCTCACATCATGTGAGCAGAGAGAGACTACACTCGCCAGATTCAAATATATACCCCATAGCCATGCCCCAATGAGCCACTTCCTCCAGCCTCACCCCACCTGCCTCCAGTTACCACTTAGTTAATCCCAGTAGGAATTAATCCACTGATTATATTAAGGCTATACCAGTCATTTCTCCTCCAAACCTTCATGCATTGTCTCAAACGTGAGCTTTTGGGGGACACCACATCTATACCATAACATTTTACCATCTGGAAGGTCCCAGGAGCAAGAGGAAAGATAAGATGATGATGCCCTCACTGACTTCTTAGAGCTTCTGCCCAAATGAGTTTAATTGGCCAAAGGAAGTCTCATTATTGTTTCCAGTTACAAACAGGCAAAGAAATGCCAGCCTACTGTATACCTCAGAGAGAAGGGGGACATTTGTGGACTTTCATAATGACTCACTCAAAGCAAAAAATGGAAAGCATAAAATGGAAAGATGGTTTCTTGAAAAGTCCAATAGTATAAACAAAGTGTTGATGAGTCTGATCCACAAGATAGTGGATATGGTATAAAGGACAATATAAATAGGTTTTAGAGAAGATTTGTGAAGGTATAAGTGAAAACTATATGTGATTTTATTATAATGTCTTTGAAAACTCAAGACATTATAGATGATTTTTGAGGAAAATGGATTTAACCCAAACTGAGGTAAGGTATAGATAAACCACGTAGAAGATTTTAAAAAATTTTAAAGATCTACTAGCAAAGATATACAGAGCTTTTATGAATGAGTTCTTCTGTCAAATCTCTCAGATTAGGTGTACAATAAATACTTATGCAATAAAATGGATGGACAAGGCAGGCATGACATTGATACTAAAATCAGACAAAGATGTCACTCATGGGGCAATGTCACTTTAGAATACAATCCTAAAACAAATTAGCTAGTATACCTAGTTGTGTATTAAAAGAAAAACACCACCCCTCCCTTCAAATCTTGACTCAAATGTTGTCCTCTGAAGGAGCTGTGCTTGATTGCCATATTCAACAGCAAGCTTCCCTTCAAACCACCTTTCCCCAGACTCCTTTTGCTGTTCTTTCTCCCATAGCACCCATTACCTTCTGACATGTCATGTAATTATGATGTTTGTTGTTTATTGTCTTCTGTTTCTGCTACAAAGTAAACAATAGGGGAAGAATTTTGGTGGTTTGTTTTCTCTGTTTTGTTTACTGATATAAGCCAGTATCTAGAACAGTTGGCACCTAGTAAATATCTGCTGCAAAAATGAATTAAACCCAGAGGCAACATGGATCCTGGATTGGATTCTGGAACAGAAAAGGACATTAGGGAAAAAATGGTGAATTTTATACAGAGTCTGTAATTTAGTTATTAGTACTATATGTTAATTTCTTGGTTTTATGGTTAGGTAAGATGGTAATATTGACTGGTATCAGGAAATCTATGTGAAGATCTGTGGAAACTGCATGCTATCTTTGTAACATAATTATAATGTTATTTTGAAAGAAGTTTATTTAGCATGAATTAATCCCAGCACTTCCAAGATGTTTTAGCATGTATAAAAGATAAAATTTTCTTAAAAGTGACAGTTTCTTAGTCTCACCTTGACCACCCAATTTAAAATCATGGACTGCCCCACTGCCTTCTCAAGCCTATGTTCCTGCTGTCCCTTTTTTGCCAGATCATTGTTACCTTCTCACACAGTGGACAATTTATTTATCATATTGTTTTTTGTGGTCTATTACGTGAGAACAGATGATTTTGTTTTTGTTCACTGGTATATCTCCATTTCCTAGAACAGTACCTGGCACAAAATAGCTATTCATTCATTAATTAAATGAATTAATACATGTGATATATATTTTTTAAAAGCAGAGTAAACCATACATTTCTTTATGTATGAGGAAAAAAGAGAAAAACAGGAAAAGGCTTAAATAGAGCCTACCCAATTGGCCTACTTGTTACTTCTTGGGATGGGCCTAGCTGTCAGTAGAGGGGTCACAGGGCAGGGACCAGCTAGGCTTCTGGAAGTTCTCAATGAATACTTGTGTGAGCCTATACGTGAGGGCTGCCTGAGTTTTGCACCTTGTGCATCTCATTGCCTCATCCTACTTCTGGAGCTTAAAGAATTTTTCTTCATTTTTGAATCATGAAAAATTTTAAATCTAATTTAATCTGGTTTTAATTCTTAAAAAAGAGGAATGAAAAAGGGAACAAAAAAAAGGTTTTTTTTTTTTTTTTTTTTTGCTTCTTTACAAACTACTAAGAAATTACCTTATTTGTCCTTAAATTGAGGAGCAGAAACTGAAGAATTACTCAATTTCCACATTCTTTTAAGGACCTAAGTTACTCTCTGCAGTGAAGAAAAGTGTAGTGAAGAAAGCAAAATCTACTCTTTAGGTCCCAAATGTAGTTTATTGCACCGAAGCCGTAATAAAATAAGTCATATTACAACATGGATGTACAAGGCTAAAGTGGGCAATTATCAGTACCAGGATAATCTGGAAAATGTGGAAATACTTCTTAGAGTAATTTTCTTTTATGATCTCAACCTCACTTTCAAGTATGGTCTTCTAAATTCCATATGCTTGGTTTTTGTTCACTTATTACCCGCCTAAAGCACAAAGGAGCATGTGGCTGTTGCTCAGCTCTTGGGCAAGGACTGCATGCATACCTCTGGCTGATTTTTGAGTGATTTACTCAGCCTCTCGGCTCACTTAACTTCCTGATGGCAAGAGTCTTAACCCAGAAGGATATGAGTCATTACAATGCAAAAAATAATTCTTTAACCTTGTGGGAAGAATGGAGGTATTGAGCTCATTTGTCTTTATGATGATGTAATTTTATTTCTATGTGGTTGTAATGGAGACTATAATTTATTACAGGAACATCAGGAGAGCATTCTGGGTAATACTATGCAAAGTGTGATTGCCCTACTCAGCAATCTGGTTGCCTGCAAAGATTCCAATATGAAGCTACTTTATGAACAAGGTAACTGTTTCTTAGAATTAATCTCTAATCCTGTTGAGTTTTGTCCATTGGTAAGTTTCTTCCTCTTGCATAGCAGAGCATCAAGAAGTACTATTTAAAGTTGGTAAGTCAAAATACATGGTAAGTATCTAGAAATAGTAATGATATGGCCAGCAAAAATTCAAAGTGGGGTTCAATAGGGATACTACTCCTGGAATGAAGGTGATAAACCAAGAAATAGTTTTTAGACTTACTTCTGCCAATCAAAAGAGTCTTGAAAAATGAGACTGGATGGGTTAAGAGTATGTTTGTTTTATATCTTATGCAAATCTGTACAATATTTTAAGTCATGAGAATGTTTTGCTTTTTGACCAGTAAAATATTTTATTAGAATATTTCACAATAAAACTCAGACAAAATCTGTCAATGAATAAAATGATTTAAAATTACTGTTTAGACATTTGCCCATAAGAATTTCGAGTTTTATTTCTATGTAGACATTATGCTTAAATGTTGATAATTTTTTTCCTTCCCTAAGAGAACTATGCACTTATTTCCAATAGTAAACATTGCCAACAATTGTGGAGTTTTGTTCATAGACATCTTTATTCTTTTACACTGCAGCATCTTATTTTGTTTTATGAATATAGCATAATTCACTAAATTGGATAATACGCAATCTTTTGCTATTATAGACAGTTGTGCAATGAATAATCTAATATATACATATTCTCAGATAGGAGCAAGATGATATCTAGGGTAAATTCCTGAGGTTGGAGTTATTAGATCAAAGGGTATGTGCATTTGTAAGTTGTGGCAATAATTACAGGTTATTCTAAGTAATGTGCCAATTTATGCTTATACCAAGCCGTATTGAATCTAAAAGCAAGTTAAGTTTTCCTGTTTATTCAGGACACGTGTGTGCTCAGTGATGTTTTATAGTTTTCTTGGTTTAGACTTTGAGCATTTCTTAAGTTAATCTTTTCTTAGTTATTTTATCCTTTAATTGTTATTTAAAATTAGGACTTTTTTGCTTATGTCTTTTTCAATTTAAAAAATGCGTTTGAAAGTTTTTGATTTCTGTGTATTTTGTACCTAATTTTAGAATTTGTCATAATAGTTTTTAGATGATTCTTCCAGTTTTCCAGTTACATAATCATCATAATTGTTAATAATGATAGTTTTTCCCTCAATTTTCATAACTCCATGTTTTCCTCTCATCTAATTGCAAGAAACAATGAGAATGGAATAGAGAATATTATCTTGGTTTTATCTCAGAATTTTTTCCCTCCGGATCAAGAATACTCATCCATTTTAAATTTATCTGTTTTCTTTTGTAATCAAGAATAAATAATGACTTCTCTCAAATTCTTTTTTGGCCTCAATGAAAACTATCAAATGATTTTTCTTGAATCTGTTTATTGGATGGATTATATTTAATAGATTACCTAATATTTAATTCATCCTAGCTCATTTATGGCATATTGTTCTCTAATTGTGTTCTTTGCTCATGTTTTGGGCAGTATTTCCCAATCTCCATTCTTAAGTGTGACTGGTTGTAGGTTTCTTTGTTTGCTTTTGATGAGGAGAATGCATTCTTTCCCATGTTTGGTCTTAATGATGGCTTATTTAATTTTTATTTTAAAAGCATAAAATTCCCCACCCCTACACTTTCTAAGCTTTTAGAACTGTTCAAGTATTGAGGACCCCTGACACACATGCTTCATGAGTTTCAGGGCATATCTACCTATGCTCCAACTCTAACAAGTTATTGAATATAATTTTTTTTTCATCTTGTAGCATGACTTTCATTCATTCATGTTGAATCATCTGAAATGATATCCGAAAACATTGAAATAATCATTAATGTAGATGGCTGAACAAATTCATTTCAGTGTCTACTCAGTTTCCCACAGTTAAATCACTTCAATATAGCCTCATGAGAATTTCCCACACTAAAACAGTACTTTATTTTGAACACAAATTTTCAGTCACCACCTAGATTACACCTTATAGATAATCCTTCCTTGCTTGACTTCTTAGTGATCCCATGTGATCCCATGCTTTCTTGTGTCATTAGCCTTACATCTCTATGGTCTTATTTGTAGGTATCTGACTCCTCATACACTGTCTCAGCTAGCTACCAGGGATACTCGGTATCTTAACAGCATTATTCGCACAGTAACCTGATTGTCTGCCAAAGTTATCATGGACAATGTTTGAAGGAATTAATGGGTGTGCTTTTGTTTTTTGGAGTAAACATCAGTGGCTTATAGGAAATAACAATGTTTTCAATAGAACCATATTACTAGAAGTACACCAGTGGGGGCTAAAGACAGTGACATTGCTTTTCAGAATGCAAAGAGGTTTCAAGGCCTCTCAGAATTGTATGAACAGAATTGGGCTGAGTAATTTCCTCATCCACAGATATAGTTCACTCTTAGGGAAAAGGAGGAATGATTCAGATGGTAGAAGCTAGAGCCAGAAAGGAACATTCTCAGGGAGCAGAATTTTGTCCAAAGCAAAGAATATGTTCCCCCTTGGCATAAAGAGAACTAAAAAAATGTGTCCACCAAGATTTCAGCTTCTAGTTGCCTCCTCCTCCTCCTTTTTTTTTCTTTTTAAGTGAGTGGGTCTGTAGTATTTTCTTCTTTCTGTGTCTCATTATTACAGTCTGAGAATATAGAGGAGCAGATAATTTGTGTTCAAAGTTCACAGGGCTTCAAGATTGAAAGAAACTATTCAAGAAGCTACATTGGGAGAAATATACCCAACGAACCTCATGTATGTCTAGACTAACTTAAATGACAAGATCCTTATCACAAATCCTTAAACTGATCTTTTCTCATATGAGATTTTGGATAATTTTATGTCTATGTAGCTGTACTTTCAGTGTGCAAAGGACAAAATTTTTAGGGGCTAGAGAGTACACTCTAGTTTCTAATCTCTAAAGATGGCCCCTGGGTTATTACAGTCAGTAAACCATACTTGCTTATATCCATATGCTTTGTGGGTTTTTTAAATTATAAAGCCAATCTCTTGGTCATAAGTATATTTTCTACTTCTTCTTGAGTCATTTTTAATAGTTTGTCTTTCTAAAAATTCCTCTACCTTAACTGATTTATTGGCATGCACTTGTAATTTTATTTATTTCTAAGATCAGTGAGAGAATTTTTTATTCCAATTATTGTGCTGTTCAACTTTAGAATTTACATTTGATTCTCTTTCATAATTTCTCTTTGTTGTTACTTTTTATTTAGTGAGAGACATTTTTATTGTTTCCCTTAAGTGTTTAGATATGGTTTTCTATAATTCTTTATATATTGCTGTTTTAAAATCTTTGTCCAGTAAGTCCAACATGTGCGTCTTCCATAAAAAGTGTTTATGCACATTTTTCCTGTGTGGGGGTCATATTTTTCTAGTTTTTGTTTTTGGGAATGTTTTATGATTTTTTTTTGTTGTTGTTGAAAAGTAGGTGTCTCAGATGACATAATGTGTCAACTCTGGAAAGTAGATCCTTCCATAAGGCTATTTTGTTATTGCCTTTTTTATTGTTTGTTTGCATAAGGACATTTTGGCATTAATTTGGTAAAGTCTATATGCCCTGTAGTATCTGGCCACAGAAGTTTCTGTTCATTTAGCTTAGTGGTCAGCTAATGACATTTTCTTAAATCATCATGTCTCCCAGTCTTTGCCAAAAGACTGTATGTGTTGGAGACGTGCCTTCAATATTAAGGCAATTTACATGTCTGTGCAGGGCATCAGCCGGAGGAAAGACTGGCCTCTGGTCTTTCCCAGTCATGTGCATAGGGCTAAGCACGCATACAACCTTGTAGATTCCCTCAAGAATATGTCTAAGTGTTTGAAAGTCTGATATATAGGTATTTCTTTCCACAGATCTTCCTTTTAAGTTTCTAGATGATTTTTTATTTTGCCTCAATTGATATTTGAGCCTCAGGCAACTGATATTAAAAAATTGCCAATGATTTTTGTAACAAATGCCACGGATATGGGCTTTTTCTCTCAGATGGGCTCCCCGCTCCAGACCTGACATGGGAGGTATGATATAAATCAAACTGTGGTAATGCTCTGGAATGGGAGTTTTTGAGGAATTCCAAACTCCTTATTAGTGCCAGCTGCTGATGCTTTGGACAGTATGGTTCTTCTAATAATGTTAGTTTTCTGTAGATCATTGATGGCCACTCCAATTAAAAAAAAAAAGACCACCATGAACCCCTTCAAAACAATCTCCACTCTGCCTCTGGCACAGAAGCAGGATATGCAGAATAATGCTGTTTAGACTCTGAGTAGCTCTGCTGGCTAGCTGAGACAGCATATGAGGAGTCAGATGGCTGAAAGTGAGCTTACAGAGGTGTGAAGCTGCTGACCCATGAAAGCATAGGATCACATGGCTGAGGTGGGACAGAGGACTAATCTCTGAGGGCAGGAGCTTAGGGAATTAAGAGGTCAGGAAGGATTGTCTGTAAGGTGAACAAGGTGGTTCCTGACATTGTATTGAATGGATTTTTAAAGTCAGAGAACTCAGGGGAACAGAGGTGAGTTTACCCTACAGCTGTGAAGCTTAGGGCTCAGGGGCTCAGGGACAACTTTACATTCACAAATTTTGTTTTCTTCTTGTAGTCCCTCCCCTTCCCCTAACCATAACACACTTCAGTCTCAAAACCTGGAGCATAAAGTGGAAATCAGAAAAATAATTATGGTAGGAGTAGCATTGGAGAGAGAACAGTGACCTTCAGGGAATTAGGTGAAGTGATGTGTAGTGGTCTGGGATGATGGCAATTGTGGGTGAAGTAGGTGATGCAGATTGCTGATCTGAGATTCAGTAAACTACAGCCTATCATTGTCTGCTTACTTTTACAAGTAAAGTTTTATTGGAACATAGATAAGTCTCTTCATGTTGGTATTGACTGTGGCTGGTTTTGTGCAGTAATGGCAGTATTGAGTAGTTAAAATCTATGTGGTCCATAAATGCTAAAATATTTTACCAAATGGCCTTTTAA